TATATATATATATATATATATATAATGTACGAATCTATAGTAGTGTTCCGCGGCAAAACGCGACCCAATCAAGACGCGTCGCCACACACTTACAAATCATCTATCGGACGTATGAAGAGAGTAATTAGATACGATCATTTCTATTTATAACGATGCTTCGGTATTCCGCGAGTCACGGTTTCTATCGCTACTTTGGTTTCGAGAAACGACACCTCCCTGCCCCTTGCGTCCCGCTTCGCACGCGCGTCTCTTTTTCTCTTACCCCCGCGAAGTCGAGCGCGAGATCGCTTCGCCGCGAGAGAGGATCCGCGAGGTAAGTACGCCGTTCGTTGCGCGAGAACGTTTTCGAAAATACGCCGACTACGGAGAGAGTGACCGTTTATATTGCACATAGTAGTAAAGTCGGGGTGTAAAATTCGTGAGCGACAGCGGTGGCGAACACCCTCGACCCTCGCGTTCCCCGCGAGCGAGTAGCGGGCTCTCTTCCCCCTTCGCGGGCGGACGATACACGCAGCTCGGCTTCGCGATCCCTTCGTTTTCGGTTTTTAGGAAAGAATCGGACAATCTGGAGCACACCGCCACGGTGCCGTATACAGCCGTTCGCTCGCTCGCGCTTGGAGAATTGAACTATCGCGGTTTCCGTTTATCCCTTCGTCGCCCGGGTGACACCTCTTCTCGCTAAACTCTCGGTTTCCCCATTGTTTCTTTCTCGTTCGTATTTCTTTCTACGTTATTTCCTTATTTCCTTTTCATTTGAATAAGTTAATTAGTAAAAAATCATTTTCTCAAGTGCCACCCTACGGCGCGCGCGGTCGCGTTATTCGGCGTGAGAAACGCACTTATGTCACATATCTTTAATAAGTTCTTAATAACTAGGAAACCGTGTATGTGTGTACGTTTTGTGTATGTGTGGAGTGTTCTGCGTTTGTGATACAGAGAATTACCTACACAGCGGGTTGAAGCGTGGCTTTTTTTCATTATTGATTAAACATCCAATGCGAACGATTCGTCACTATCCTCTCCCTATCACTCTCGTTCGGGTTTCCCACCGGTCCTCATCACCTACGCGTCTTTTCCGACCTTGTTGCTCTCACTGTCACCCCCTCATTCTTTCCATCTCTCTCTCTGACTCGCATTCTCTTCCAATCCCATTCGCTCATTCTAGCGACACACTCTCGCGTCGGATGATCAGGTACTCGCGTTTCTTTACGAACATTCGTCGCGCGGAAATCACTACTTTGCTCGGAGCGCGGGTTTTCGTCCGGCTTTCGTAAACGGCGTCGGCGGGAAAATACGAGCCCCCGTTCGTCGAGAAGTCGCTTCGCCCGCTTTGCGTCCACCCGGGTCGCGTATCGTAAAATCAAAATCCCGCTCGACCGGGGTGGACGGGCACGGGGGGAGGAACTCCCTCGTTCTCTCGGTTCACGCGGCAGTCGAACTCGGAAGGGGCGATCCGCGGCGGATCGAGACGCAAGCGCGAGGCGGATCCGGTAAACGCTCGAGAAGGATCGGTGCCGGCAATCGGCGCGGGGTACGTAACGCGAGGGCGGCGGCGGTGGCAACGGCGGCAGCAGCCCCTCCCTCGCTTGCTCGGCTTCGAGACTCGCGGTAACTAACAATACTCGATCTTTCGGACAGAACCGGTGCATTTTACAGCGCAGACAGATAGGATTATACGTGTACGAGTAATCGATATACTGAGAATCCGTGTCCGTTTTCTCTTTTGAATCCTGTGTCTCGGCATGTGTCTTTCTTCGTTTTCTTCTTCTTCCGGCTCGACGATATCGGCTCGGCGTGGATCCGATCGTCCCCTCTTCTTTGCTATTTTCTGGCGCCTTCGTCGGCGAGAGATCTGTTTCCGGTTTTCGGCAAAGTTATCTGGATCGGCACAGTTTTGGCTCGACGATGATACCGGCGGCCGTTAGCAAGTCGTTACGGATGGCGAGGTCGAAGATCGGAACGACGCCGAGAGCCTGCATCGACTGGCGGGCAATAACGGCTGGTTTCTTCCTCCAGTATAACCGGTATAACTTGAAGTAGTAGCAGTGGAGTAGTAGTAGTAGTAGTAGTAATAATTTGTAGTAGAGAATAGTAGTTGTGGTAGTAGTAGTAATAGTAATAATAGTGGTAATAGAGTAGAGTAGTGGTAGTACGTAACGATCGAGTGGTGGTAGTAGTAGTAATAGCAGTTTTGAGGCTGTGTTCTTGTTGTAGATAAGTAAGTAATATGGGGGGCGGGGGGAGGGGAGGGTGGGTGGGGGCACGGGGGGGGGGGGGGGGGAATATTGATAGAGGTGGTAGTTAATTAGCTAGGGCTGCGAGATAATTAGGGACAACGCAGCTGGGGTTAACACCAGCGGAAAGGCACGGCCCGAGGCCGATCCGCGCCCTCCTTCACCAGCGGCTTGTGGAACTCCCGACCTGGCCGGGAGTGGATAGTTGCCCAGCAATGCTCGCAGTAGTACTGAAAATAGTATTATAATTCAGACTTCAATATTAAGTTTATCAAAAAATTTTATCTTCTCTTTTATACAAGAGAAAAGATAAAATTGTGTATTGGTCATTTACTCAATAAAATAATTAAAGGAACAACAGTCTTCCATCTAGTTCCATTATTAAAAAATACGAATACGATTTTAGTTTTGAATCGCGTGGATGCAATTATTGGATGAAATTCCAATGGAATCTCAGAAATCATAAGATTTAATTTTAATAGAGTTACTCTTTGCCATGACATTCGTACAGAAATCTTAAATCTTTGGCTTCAAATTAAAATTAAAACCCACACTTTTATTTTACAGTGTTTTATAATTTATTAATAAAAATGAGCCGATGATCGAGACATACCTGCAGGCAGGTGACGTTGGCGCAGAAGAATGGCGCAAACTTGCCTCCGCAACGCTGGCCTTGACATTCGTCGCACATCTGATCGTCCAGAACGTATGGTTTGACTTCGACCTGTTCAAGAGATTATCGATACGGTCAGAAAAAGTATGAAACGCTCGAAGTACTTAGAACAAGAATAATTGCTCGGGGAATAATACTCATAATCTGTAAAGATTTTTTAAACAATCTTACTAATCACGGACTTAGATCTTTCATTCTTGTCCTGAATATTTCATTTAGTGATGTTACACGCTCGAGCCTTCTCGGAAAGAAGGGCACGCGAAAGGATGCAATTTTTCTTCGTACTCACCCTCTTGTCAATATCGCCGTGCTGCAGCTGTACGAATCTGGCTGAGATGGCAGCTATGTAGCTTTGCTGATTACTAAAGGCGACCCTGCCGGCACCCTTGGGATACTTGAGCTCGGGATCGGTGTCGATGCCGGCGTAACAGACACCACCGTAAAGCCGGTCCATAATCATCGCGAGCTCGACGGCCTTGAGCGGTCGCGGCACTCCGCCGACGAAAACCGTTTTTCGCGGATCGAGCGGCATGGAGGCGTCCAGCACGAAGTCGGCATCGCTCAGCCGCCAAGGTCGGATCTGCACGGGCTTGTCCTTGATCGTGGGCGAGCTTACGCAAAGGTAAAGCTTGTCCTCGTCCTGGATGCAGGCGTCTATCAGCTGTTGCACCGAACCCTCGTCCTGGAATACCGAGCGGTCGATTTATCATTAGTTTTTTTCTGTTAGTTTTATCAATCCAAATAATCCAAAAATAAAAAAAGAAAAAACGAAAGGGGATGAAGGCATACCTGGAACAGCAGAAACGCGTAGCCTTTCGGCGGGAAGTAGGATTTGCTTTCTGCCTTGTGCGGCCAGTCCACGACGAGCGGCCCAAAGCGGCGGAAACTGGCTGTGATCTCGTCTGAATCAAGAGGACATGCGCCATGATTACCGTCATTCTGTCACGTCTCACAAGTAATCTATTTTAGATGATAAATTTTAACATGATCAATCGGCGTACCTTCATCGATGTCAGGCGGTAGTCCGCCGACGAAGACTTTCCTGGAGAAACGCTCGCCGGTTTCGCTGCCCTGACTGTGCGGACTGCTCCGACTTGGCGACGACAGCGGGGCCGCTTGGGACGCCGTTATCCCGCCGCCCACACCGACGCCGACGCCTACTCCGACGCCAACGCCGACGCCGTCCAGCTGGCTCGGCGCGTTCGGATCCTCCAACAGGGTACCACCTTGCTCTTCGAGACTCGGGAAGAACGGAGATTTACCTGGAACAAAACATTTCTTCACGTGAGCGATTCAATCCATCGAGAAACATATGTAGTTAAGTTCAAGTTGAGTCAGACTAATAGAACACACGAATGAATTAAGAGAAAAAATCAGGATGGAGACGCGTAAGAAAATAATAAATAAATAAATCGTAATAGATAATAAGATAATTTTACGTTCTTCTTCGAATATCGTATTTACGAATAGGGGCGGAATTCGAGCCACGTACGCCGATCGGCCGATTTACGTCGCAAAACAAGAGATCGTTATGGATCGTCCGCGGGAATCAAGGTCCGGATCTGACATTCGTTCGTTGTCGGAGAATTCATTATGCAATTGTGCGGAATCACGTAACAAGCGGCGAGAGAATCGCGCGTATTATGTATATGTGACGTGGGAGGCAAGAGGGAAGAAGGAGGGGGGAGCAATGTGAGCGCTCTTTCGACATAACTCCTTTTCTTTTTCTTTTTTTTGGGCGGGGGGTCAAACCGGAAGTTTTTGCGTTGCACACAGCTGAAATACAGCCTCGTAAAAGCGTAATGCCAATTATGTAACGTGACGTTCTCGGCATCGTTTCTAGACTCGCCGGGAGAGATAAGGAGACAGATTCCTTAAAATATCGGACGATAAATTGTTTGATGCTACGAGGTTGAAATTATATTACGCATATTTAGTAACGAATTCTTGAGAGAAATCAATGGATGCGCAACCGTTGACCAACTTAACCTATCGAGGATTCTCTTAAAAAAAATATCGACAAATAAACATACGAAAAGTATTACTTTGTCAAGATACCTGTCAAATATTATGTACAGCTCGAAAAACAATCGGAGTAACAATTAAGAAAGCTAAATTATTCCATTTAAATAAACGTATCACTTATCAGAATTATATTTAAAAAAAATCGAGCTTGCATGTCAGAGAAAATTTTTACGAAACATCAGCATTCGCATTTTAGATGACAGCAAGAAAAAATATGATTGATGCTCCGATCGTTATGTAAATACAGGACTGTAATATACACGATTTACCATACATTATTTTGCTAAATATAGTCATTAAATTACGTAAAAAGGGAAGGCTCCGAAAGTTGCGCATCGCTGCTCCAAAAGAGGCTCGGTCCGACACCGTAAACACCGATAATTTGACGGCAGCCGGGACTGCCGTCCATTTCGGAGCAGGACGGTCGCGCTCGCGCCAGACGAGAGCGCGAGAGGAGAAGAGGCTCACTATCGCATACGGGAGATTCACCAGCGTGCAATCAACGGCTGGTCATTAATTATTCGCGCGGATAATAATCGGTATGCGGATTGCCGGGCTCGATAACACGACTCGCGAGCGAGAAAAGGCCACCTCCGTCGAGACTGTCCCGAAAAGGTGCGGAGAAATTAAAAAGAAAGGTGGGACTCACTGTATCTCCTCCTGACGGGAAATCTCGCACGTCTGATAAACGTCGCCATATCCTCGATCGACGATCGAGATAACGAGCCGACGACGGCGGGGGATTCGCGCGCGCGACTATACTTATCGTCCACGGGACTCCGGACTCCGTTTGTTTCTCCCGTCGTTGTTAAGGGAGGGGAAAAAAAGGAGAAGCAGTAAACAGGGTGCAACGCGCATGAATGGCACGGCCGGAAAGCGTCGCCGGCTCGTCGGAACAAGCGAGCGCGCCGTCGCGACGCTCACCTTTTTTTTCCGCGCGCGCCATGCACGCGGTCGTGCAATAATAATCGAACCGGAAACGTAAATACGTAGGGGACCTCCCCCGTGCTCCTTCGTCGTGTTTGCCTATCCGCCTCCGATGATGATAAGCGCAACGGGCGTAGCGCTATTTATTTTTTTCCAAGCGACATTAACGCGCGGGCTTAATCGCGAGCTGATAATTATTTACATATACTCAGGGTAATTGCGAGATATGAATATGGGTCGTGGGCATGTACCGGGTATTCGGCTTCAAGTGAGCAACGTCCTGGCGAATCGGGGACTGACGAAAAGTTACGGGTTTCCTGATTCCTCCCGCGGACGTCGGCCGAAGTTATTCGAGCGTTTAATTGACGCTTGTGCGGAGAAGTTCGCGGAGAGAAAAATGTTCGGAACTCGAGAGGTGAAGCTTCCTACATGCAGCCCGGCAGCAACAATAATAATCCATCGATAATTTCTTCATGTCGACGTTTAATGCTCGACGTTCGAGGGAAGTTACCGGCACGAAATTGCGGCGTGAATGTAACTTTCGTACGCGTGGGAATTACGTAAGGATCGGGTTGATGCACACGGGCGTGTGCAACTTCACGCGTACTTAATTTCAGGCGTGAGACATTTTAAATGAAATCGACCGATTGAATTTATGTGATTTTTATCTTTTAGTGACGTCAATATAAGAATTTGTGGTGTAATATGTGTAATTATATTTTTGCAGGCCATTTATGCGAAGACTTTGTATTGCCATACAAAAGTTTTTTTAGTGTAGAGCATCACTCACTGAGGAAATAATACAGTTGTTCAAAAAAAAATATCTGGAAAATAATAACTCATTGCAAAATTTTATTTCTTTATTTGTTGCCTCATTTCGTTCCTGTATTTGAATCGATTAGAACCGGTTCGTCGCCAGCGTTAATTCACTCCAGTGCCGCACGTTAAGTTCGAGGATTGCAGTTAACTATAATAATTCCGCGATCCTTTCTTTCACCGTCGTGATATAACAATTTTGCATCACAATACGATTGCACCTCCGATGGCTCTAATTCCCTCTGTGAGAGATACTTTATGTACTACGTCATGACGTAGCCGCTTACGTCGTGCTTTCGACTTCGTGCCTCACACACATTAGCATAAATAACACACCGCGTGCGCGTCTATAATTCGCCGGCGAATCAATAACACGTAAACGAACTCCGTGAACTCCGCGCGCGTGGATGATGAGCGAAACGCGCTCCGAAAACGTTTCTCGGCGATTCGACCGATGTATCAGGAATCAGCAGCTAATCGGGCAACAGCATGTAAATTAATTTACACGAGTTTGTGCGTAAAGAGACATTATTGCGAATAACCATTTCGTCAGCGTTTCTGCTGCAATCAACGGCGCTTCGGAAGTTTTCGAAATTTCATTTCGAAACCTCTTTCGATTTCGTCGCGTGAGAAAACGCTCGTTCGAACCTGATATCTGGGTCAACCACGTCGGCGCGGGCGCTTCGGCAACGGTTTTGAGAGCGAGATCCGTGGTGAAATCGACGTAACAGCGCAAAATTGTAACGCACATATCGGGAGTGTACGCACGCGCTCATTCGCGATTATTGAAATCGAGTATTGAACGCGGCCCTGCAGCGATATTATTCGACGTTATTATCGTCGAAGCATATGCGTCTCGATATCTGGGCTATCTTTGATCGCGTAAATAGGTACGCGGATTATAAAAGCTTCGTATTCATCTCTTAAATATCCAGATTTCAATCGCTGAGTTTTCAAATATTATATTCTCCATATCAGCGGCTCACGATCTTTCGTATTTCATCGTACTGTAAAATCGAGAGAAATAATTGAAAGCAACTGAACTATTCGTTTCCTGTACAGGTAATATTCACATATATTTACGCCAATATATAAAATCCCTATCAAATTAATTAAAAAATATTTTAAGAATCAATTTCTCTCGATTAAATCGATGGAATTTTTAATTGTCGTGGAACCGATCGTCTTCGTATAATATTTGCGAAAGCTAAGACAAGGGAAAGTTCGTGGAAACTGTAAATTATTAGACTACTAAACTTATCAAACTTATCAAAGTTTAGGATTGGTTTAATGATTTACAGAAGAAGAGGGTTTCATCTCCGCCTCCGCTTCCAGCTCAATTTCATCTCCCCGTTTCAAAGTGTTGGCAGGTAGAAAACATGGCCGTTACTTTAGGAAGCCACCAGATTTGAATTATAATAACTTCATATTCAAACGTGCCCATTATAATGTCTTTAGTTACATGTGTGTCAATTTCGATGACTCGATGCCGATCGACTAACTTTCAAAAGAACCGTCATTCATTATATATTTCGCAGATGTCACCGATAGTAATTTGGGCGCGTGATTTAATTTCTCTATCTCTCTAAGTCTGAACAAGACTTAAATCTTGGTATAAAGGACGCATCTACGTAACCAAATAGAGTTTCCTTTTCTTCCTATGTACTCCGATTCGAGAAAACCGCGCGAGGATCCTCTCGCGCTCGACGGCGCGTCATACGCAATTTACAAATTAGTCGGAAGTCCATCGTTAAGCTGAGCCATCGATCTCGATGCTACCGACCCACTCTGGACGCGCGTCCTGACTACTGCCGGGATCAATGACTTTCCCATCGACGGCGTATAGCGTGCCTTATATGCATGTTTACTTCCCCGTGGGACTCGGCCGCCAGTTAAAACGCGGCACAAAAGCCATTTTCCTTCTGTTGCTTTTCTTTATATTCTCATAAATTTGCATGGCAAAAATCAGGCTCCCCCTCGTCGCTCGCAATCAGACCACTTCCTCCGTCCGTCCCCCTGTCTGTCGGCCACTGCTTCACCTTTGCGTCACCAAGGGAAACACGCGGCGACGCGGAGAAGGGTGAGAAAGGGCGAGGGACAGCAAAAAGGGAATAAGCCGGGAGCGAACGAACGGGAAGCCAGCTATGACGACGAGGACGAGAACGATGATGACGCGCATTCAATCTGATTGCCACCGTGGTGGAAGAAGTAAGAGAAGAAGAGAGAAAGAGGGAGAGAGAAACTTCTCCTGTCGAGATAGAGAACAGGGGGAGGCGGAGGAGATCGGGGCATTTATGTCGTTTGCCGTATCTCACCGTGAAATGGATTCGGGAATGTCTCCCCGACGCGGGGGAGATGAAAATTCGTATGACAATGATCAAGGGACGCCACGCGATTATCCTCTGTCGCCGGAAAAACGTGCCTGGATTCGCAGCAGGTGCGTCCGTCCTTTAATAAGACCCGGCGATCGCATCGCTCGCCTCCTGAATTGAAT